GAATTGTGGAGGTCGAGCATTAAGGTTGTAGGTTAGGGGGAAGTCTGTGAGTATTACTACAACATNATTTCTGAGTACATGGCCCTTGACGGGGAATTGTGGAGGTCGAGCATTAAGGTTGTAGGTTAGGGGGAAGTCTGTGAGTATTACTACAACATACTAGAGTAACACTAGCCATTTAGGAGTTAGTCTTAGGAGGCTACTGATCGGCTACGGATGTAGGGCTTGTGTCGGTTGGATATTAGTATACCTTACATCCTTTTCTCCATCCTTTTTCGTATTTCCTATATTTCTTATATTGATGTTATTCTGTTATTTTATATTATGTATTTTATGTTATTTATTATGACTCTATTGATAGTACTAATATATTGTCTCTTTGTTGCTCTCTTGAGCCGAGGGTCTCCTGGAAACAGCCTCTCTGCCCGTCGGGGTAGGGGTAAGGTCTGCGTACATACTACTCTCCCCAGACCCCACTGGTGGGATTATACTGGGATGTTTATAGAAAATGGGTTAACCGGCGAATAATATGGATATCCATAGCTTCTTGAATATGATCATTTTTGGGAGAATTCCTACTCTCCCAAACTTGAGGAACCTCCAATTTTCGTCTTTGCAAATGTTAAAGTTAAACCCATTGGTTATCTATTTTTAAGTAGATAATATGGATCTTATCTATATTTGATCCTTTTTTAAAAGTTTATTATCCAATCCAGTTTTAGTGGATAATACGGATGAATAACTATTTTTTATCCGTTTTGCCACCACTACTCATAGAGATTGCTATATTTAGCTTCTCCTCTGTCCGGTCTTAGTTGTGAAATATCTTTACCTCAACATGTTGGTTTCTAAGCATTTTCCTAGGTTTGATAGCTTCTTGATATTTATAATCAGTAGCATAATGGCTGGGCTAAGAGATCCTAACTCATAAGCCTTATCTCCCACATAGTCTGTGAATTTATTTTCTCTATTTCAGTGCTAATTCTGTTTGTTGCTTTCGTATTATTCAATAACTTTCTCTGCGTCTTGTATTTCCCAGCTTGCTCGAGGAATTCCACTAGAGAAGCATAATTATGATCTCCTGGTTCCCTAATGTGCTTATGTTGAGCACCAAAAATCAGTACTGCAGTCCACATTCCTTAATTCGTAAAGGCACAATTAGCACCTTCAACCATACAACAATAGGACTATAGGGGTATAAAAACATTTCTTGTACCATGTTGACATATTAACCACTAGTTTCACCAATCAAAAAATATTAACCAATAGTTTCAAAATTAGCTGATATTTAAAGGACTTCCATATTAACTTTATTGATACCATTTTTATGTGGGATGAAATATGACAACATTGGGTTAAAAATTTTCAACAGATGTGGGTGATTGATTCTGGAGAAAATGAGAAGAAAGCACCTTCGGTTTCATACCAGACTAGCCTTTCTTACCATAGTTCTGCTGTGAATGCGCTCCGGTTCTCTCCTTCAGGTAAAGTTGGTCATTTGCTCTGTAAAAGATTGTGGTAGCTATTTTTTAATTTTACATTAATTAAAACATTAATTTTATGAGGCAAGAATACATACATGGTTATAGGGGTGTTGGAATTTCCTCTGAAGCTGCAAGTTGTTTCATGCAATTTATGTGTAAGGTTGGTGTTTGAATGACCTGGTTTTCTTCTCTGTGTTTCTCTATACTTTTGGGAATCAAAATGTAATAGTGGTTTTTTAGAGGGTCGGCATTTGATATACTTATCTGCTGATCCTACTTAAGCTGCATTGGGCTGTGAACTTGGTTCTTTCTTCTTTTAGTTCCTTTTTTTCTTTCAAATATTGCTATCGTTGAAATAGACTTGTAGGTTTTCACCTCCTTTCAGAAAGCTGATGGCTTGTTAGCCAGTTTCTTGAACTAATAATTCCTGTGAGATGTGCTTTTATCCAGATGACCTCTGTGGTGCTTAGAAGATTAACATTAGAAAGTTCGATTATCAGTTGTTAGATATCCTATTAGATTATATGATTTTTCTGGAATTTTTGCTATAGATTCAGAAATTCCTGTAGTCAGAATCTTTTTGCTGGATATGCATTTGAGCACTCGTTAATTTGAGAACTGGAAATACAGAGCAGAGTGTGGAACTTCTTTTGCAGTCAGATGTGTTGGATACTGAGTTGTGATGAAGTTCACGAAATCATCAATTACCTTGGACTGTGTAGAGAAGGTTGCTCTTGCTACAAATGAAAACAGTAGAAAGAGATGTTTCTGCAAGTATTTTGCAGCATTTGATTCGACATGTAACAGTGTGATGGAGGGTTAAAGTGACAATCTTTTGGAGTTTTATTTGACTTACTTCAAAGTCAATGTCATATTACAAGCTTCTCTTTCCTCTTTGGATTGATCATAACGATGAGAAAGTTATAGTTTCTGCTGACTGTGGGTACTTCATTTTTAGTAACGTTTGCAGTTACCAAAAGTTTTCCTATAACTGACCTTCTGATGCGTGTCTCCGTCTGATTTATTAGTCTGTTGGATAATATACTTGTACTATCTAGTTAGCCAGAAGACTGAATTACCATTTTCTGTAATATGCAGGAGAACATTTGGCTTCTGGTGCAGATGGTATAGACTTGTCCCTATAAATCCCTCATTTAGCATAGATCAGATAATTTAACGATCTATTCTGCTGCATTTTTTTTCTTCCACTTTTTAATTTAAGTCTCTTTGTATTTTTAAGAGCAACTACTCCTGATGTAGGTGGTGAGCTCATCATCTGGAAGCATCATTCTTCAGATGGCAGCAAAACGTGGAAAGTCCTAAAGACATTATCGTAAGCCTTTCATTTGGTCCAATTGTCATTTCTGAATTCTGAATTACTAAGCACTCTTAAGAAGAACAAAGATTCACTCTTGGGTTTTTTTGCTTTTTTTTTTTAAAGCTGTAAAGATGGCTTCAGCTCAGCATTTGTCAAGATATATAGTCAATTTTTTGTTATTCCATAATATTCTAATTATCCCGTATTAAACAGACTTCCTGAATGTTGGTCATAACTTTTCAGCTTAGTTTTTCTGCAAGGAAGTGCTTTGAAACTGTCAACTGCAATACTCATGGATAAGATATTTCACCTAATGCCTTCGAGTTGCAATAACAGAAGGAGCATAATCCATTGATTTAATGAAATTATTTCTAATTTGATACTAGTACTCATGACACAACCTTTCTCAGATTTCACCGTAAGGATGTATTGGACTTGGAGTGGTCTACTGATGGTTCTTTTCTAATATCTGGTTCTGTTGATAATTCATGCATCATATGGGATGTCAACAAAGGTAAGAAATAAATGAGGATCTAACTGAAAGATTTTGTAAGTCAAGATAAATAATCTTTATACTGACAGTCTGCCATTTCCTCATCAGGTTCAGTTCATCAGATATTGGATGCTCATTTGCACTATGTGCAGGGTGTGGCATGGGATCCATTGTCCAAGTATGCTGCCTCACTTAGTTCAGATAGATCTTGCCGGATTTATATCAACAGACCATCTAAAACAAAAGGAGTTGAGAAGTTGAATTTTGTGTGTCAACATGTCATTATGAAGGTTGAACCACAACAGCCGGATGAGTCCAAGGTCAAATATCATATCAATTCCTTATTGCCTTCTTCAGTATAAGTTAATGTTACATACATAATAACTTTTGCTCATGCAAATGTGTGCAGTCTACTAAAAATCATCTCTTTCTTGATGAGACACTACCATCTTTCTTCAGAAGATTATCTTGGTCCCCTGATGGTTCCTTTCTGCTTGTACCTGCAGGTACAACCTTGACATTTTGATCATTCTTTTGACTTGTTTCCTGAAATTTATCTCATCTCTTTCTACATCTTCTCCCCTGCTCTCACTGCCCCTCCAAAAAAATAAAGAGAAAGAAAAAGAAAAAGAAAAAGAAAAAGAAAACCATCCTCAGAGACAAAAAGAAAAAGATCTATCAAGCCTTCTTCTGTTCTTTTTGTCTTGAACATGCTTCTTCGTCCTTAGAATGACATGACATTGGTGTCTGTTCAGTCACCGTTGTGCAATATCATATTCTGATATATATCTCCAAACAGTTCCTTCTTTTTTCACCTAATGAATTTTTCAAAATTTCTACGCTTTCAGAGTGAGCCAATAAATGCAGCATTGGGACCTCCTTTTGTGGTCAAAATATGATACAGTACACCCAAATATTCAGACTAAAATCATCCCATAGCTCTCTATGACTGTCTTGACATTTTTGTAGTGTTTAATCTCCACATTACAGCTGTTGTAATTCCCATTTAAGCTACATATCTTTTGACTCTTCATTTGCATTTCTTGCAATTTACTGCCTATGGAAGGTAGAACTATACTTGAGATAGAGCTTCTAGAGATAGAAACTTGGACTTCTTCGGATCTGTTTTTTCATGTGATAGTGCTAGTGTGGTAGATCAAAGGTGTTCTACCTGTATTCCCTTTTTGTATATTTTTATCGTTATGATTATCATTTTTGGGGGGTGGACGAGAACACTACTTCTCACTTTTCGTTTCAAGCCACATGGGCCTCATCTCTTTTTGCGCTTTTAAAAACACTGCATTGAAAATTTGAGGATATAGACGTGTTCTGCTATTTCAGGTTCTTACAAGTTTACACCTGCTTCAGAACCATCGAACACTGCTTATGTGTTTTCCAGAAAAGATCTCTCAAGGCAAGGATTCTTCTCTCTTTGGTACTATATTATTTCTATTAGGGTGACTCCGTTATATTCGCTCTAGAAGCTAGATCACAACAGTCTGATACAGTCGTCTCAACTTCCTTGGATGTTCACAGGCCAGCTTTAATGCTCCCAGGTGCCAGCAAACCTGTTGTTGCAGTACGCTTTTGCCCCATGACTTTTAGCTTGAGAGGATCAAGCAATTGTAAGTTCTCCTGCTGGATTCCTTTTTTAGTTGATTGTGCTGTGTTATTCTCACAAGGTAGGGTTAAGGTCTGCGTACACACTACCCTCCCCAGATCTCACGGTGTGGGATAATACTGGGTATGTTGTTGTTGTGCTGTGTTATTCTCTGATACCACCACGATCCTTTTTAATGACTGCAGCCTCATTCTTCAAGCTCCCTTATCGTCTTATTTTTGCTGTGGTTACATTGAATTCTTTGTACATCTATGACACGGAAAGCGTACAACCAATAGCAATCGTAGCTGGTCTTCATTACGCAGCTGTAACAGACATAGCATGGTATATTCCTAGCCTCCGTATTCTTTTCCAAATGCAGTCAGCACTCCCATTCTCTCCCATGCAGCATTGTAGAAATTATTTAATTCGTTCTTTCTTATGACCTAAATAACAATGCAATGATGTATTTCTTTGACTCTGTCAAGGTCGGCTACTGGGAAATATCTGGCTTTGTCCTCCCAAGATGGTTACTGCACTCTGCTAGAATTTGAGAATGATGAACTAGGATCCACTTTATGTAGCCCAGGTTTGCTATGTTTCTCCAACTAATAGTTAAAGTTTTATCCATGTTATCTTCCTCATCCTGACTAACGATTTTGTGTCTGTTGGAAATTTTTTGCAGAGAAAGAAATTGCTGGAGGTGATAGAAATATTGAGCAGAAACAGGCGGAAAATGTTCCGGAAACTATTAGCAGTGATAAGTCCATGGATATGGATAATGGAAAAGCAGAAGAGAAAACAGAGCTGAAACAAGAACCAATAATATCAACTCCACAAATTCCTAATAAACCTACCAGAAAAAGGATCACACCAATGGCCATTGATTAATTTTGGTAGTTCTCTGAAAGTCTAGTTTGCTCTTTTTGTTCCATTTTTTTTAAGGGGCTCGGAAGTGTTGGGGGAAAATTTGGACAACTTCTCATGTATATATGTACACCAGTAATATTGTCAGCCGAATCATTTGCCTATTGTTTACTACCCGTTATATAAATATAGTCACTTTGACCTATTTTTTAAGTTAAATTAGACAAGTTTGTCTTCTATAAGCTAGAAGATTATATACTTAGCAAGTTGAATAATCTCAGAACGTTTCAAATATTACGGATACTGACTAATTTTTGGTGTAACAAATCTATTAAAATATATTAATGGCCAAAGAATGAAAAATGACAGTAGTCTTTGCGCCATAAACATAATTTAGTTAGAGACTATTCTATTAGAGTGGAAATTTGATATTACGTACAGCTTTTCCGAAACAAATGGATAAGCATTCCCAAGCTAAATGTTGAATTTGCGTAACTTTTATCTCTGAATGATTAAGTTTGGAAAATAAAATGAAATAAAGAATAAAAAATAGTACTATCGTTTTAAGAGTTTACAAAATTCAGACCTTACGATTCAAAAATAACTTAGAACCACATCAAACTGGACAAGATTGGAAGGGGAAGTGTTACATTTTCCTCTTTTCTGCTGCAACAAGAATAGAATGAACAAAATAAAACTCAAGAGATGCCAAACTTAATATGCAACACTTCTCATCAGTGTAATAAATTTTGAACACTAGATATTAATTTTCAAATATTACACAATACAAGACAAACATTCTGGGAATGATATACATTTTTTCTCCTTCCCTCTTACAAAATGAATTTAGTGAACGAAAAAAAATGATGAAAAAGAAATAAATTTCCCGGTACAAGAGTTTCTTCTCACCATGTAACTATACATTTCTGTTCAAAATTGTTTTTTTTTTTTTTTGCTGGAATTGCAAAATTGATTGACCTTCATAGAAAAACATAAGCTGGTATGAATTCCTGTTTATCGTACATCAGTCCATGCTGTTGAACCTGCACCAAACAAATGACCTGTAAACAAGACTAGGTTGAATGTTGAAGAAATGTGGCTAAAGAAGAACGTAAGCGCCAATCCAGGTATCTAGAAAAGACAGTTTGCTCTCAAGTCTCAACTCGACAAAACTTTGCCAAACTCAGCCAGGGTTGAAGAAGCAAACATAATTCGGAGTTGAAACTGAGGTCATTTGGTTGCAAATACACTAGTCAACTTATGGCGACTTTTGGTTTCACTAAGGCAACTACGTCCACAAAGTTATGAATGAACTTATAGAAAGGTGTATTTGCAAAAATATAAGCAAGGTGTCAAGGAAGATAGAACCCCAAGCATCTATCTTGAAAAATGTCATGTAAAATGTGGATAATGAATGAGAAATATTGGAGCAAAACTGATGCTATACACTACTTTTTATGGATTTAGCAAACATGGGTCTATTTTGCTCTATCTTGGTGACGTCTTGACTTCTCAGTACATACTGGCTGTTTGAGTCCACTAAGAATTTAGATTATCATAACACATCACACAGTGGGAAAAGAGAAATATTATTGAATTGACCAATTTTCATATGCAAGTGTACAAAACTTACTCTCTTTGTTGATGCAAAGGCATATGGCGATAGCTACGATGAAGGTATGAAAAGACCATTTCGTTCCAAAGATCAGGAACTCCAGGTAGACACCAGTGGCTGCAATCAGAGAGAGATGGATTATCACTCCAAATACCGACATGTGAATCTTTCCTGAACGCGGACATGGGAGTTATGCGTAGCACAGTAACTGGAACTTTCATTCCGCGCGCCACCTCTAGTGCTGCGTCTGAAAATGTGTTACTCTCCTGACCCTTAGTCTCTGAAAGAGGTTGATTTGTCACATTGCACAACCGCAGAGTTAGATTGCTGATGCAAAACCAATATGCATTTCATTAGTTGCAAAGACATACTATGTTCGATCTAAAATCAACAATATTAATGCACTCTGAGAAACTGGACAACAGAAGAATCAGCAAGCTCTATGACTAACAAACGATGTTTGTTTGACGGTGAAAGAAAAGACATTTGCTGATATTATTAATGCAGAGCTAAAAGCATCCAGCTGCATAGAATGCATAGCTATCAACAACAAGTACCTCCAGTGAGATGGTTCAAACGTTCTGAAAAAAACACGTGTCCTGTTAGGGTTAATTTTGGTATCTATCCAGGATGCCCAAGTCTCAAGGGCAGTTCTGAATGCTGTGGGAATTGACATTCCAAGCTTGAGTGTATTATTTAGTTGGAAATAGCATCCCCTGTAAAAGAACGATTTAGGAACATCGTGAGAACAACCGACCCACAAAAAAAAACAGCTACTTCTGGATGAAAACTAAGAAGGAATCACAATCACAATATCCAGCTCATGAAAGTTCCTGGATTTTTGTTTTCTAGGGTAGCAATTTGAATTTTTTTTTTCCATATCAACTCTTTAAGCAATATCAAATTGAACCACTATCTTTCCATAGAATTTTGTTGCACATTGGATTAAAAACAATATTTGAATAAGTCAAGGATGAATTGTAAAGGAAATCTTTATTGGTTCTACACTTCTACCTCCTATTTTTTATGAAATGAATGGATTTTTTTCTTGAAGGACACAAACCATCAAAACAAGTTCAACATCATAATGTTCATCTAATATGATGCCGTTATTATGATATGTTCTTTGTTTACTTCTTTACATATCAACACCACTTGCAGAAAACCCTGCCTGCGGCCCCGTGTGCACATACAAAGAAGAGACTTTCTACTTTTTAGGAAGAAAAAAAGCATATATTTACAAATGTAGGAGTGACAAAACAAAATCGAGACATGTGAGAAGAAAGAGAAAGAACAGGGGGAAAAGAAAAAAGAAAATCAAAAGGGGGGAATCCATAAATGAAAGGCCCATCCATATGTTAAGGATATTTTAGTTCAATGATAGTTCGCAATTATATGATATATACTAGTAAAAGGAAAGGAACATGTGCCAGTAAAAGAGCGAAGTGCACTTACACTCCAAAAAGCTTCCCGGGTACCCACCACTGTCCAGAATTGAATATGAGGACATCTGCATTAATCCATTCGTTGCTGATATCATCAAGCTTGTCCAACTTAAGGGTTGATCTAACTCTCTTTATTCCATATTTGGAAGACCAGTTGTGCTGGACAAGGAATACTGATCGATAAAATTCAACAGTGAAATTGAAGGAACTAAACCTCACTCCCAAAAAGCGAATTACTTTTGTGATCTTATTCCCATTTACTTCATATACACTTCCCTTATCTTGCACCCCGGTCATTAGCAAGCATATCAAGGACTCCCACTGAGTCCTACTCATTGAGTCTCCAACAAAAACAATTCTCTTATTTCGGAGAATTTCCAACAGATTATGCACATCAAACCTCGGGATTTCACAATTCCTCGGCTTCCACCTCCACTTAAGATAATCATCATTGGTTCTACCATTAGCCAAACAGTTGAATCCTTTCTCCACAAAGGGGCATTCTGAGGCATTGTACAAGGGATAGCTGTTATCGACTACCCATTTTCCATCAAATATGTCACAAAAACTATCCGAACCATTAAAACTAAGGCCGACATCCTCCTCATGAGATGCTTTTGTAAGATTGGGCAAAACATATAAATACCCTCCTCCAATTGCCAGGAAAAAGGAAACAGCAGATCCTAATGCTATAAGTACACAAAAAAGTCTTGAAACCTCGCTTTTCCTACTAAATCTAGGGCTGCTAACGGACTTATCGAACAATCTAGGGCTGCTAACTGTCAATGCCCTCTGTTTATGAGAGAGACTTCTACCGAAAGTACTTATTGTCCCAGACATTGGTTCCACTACTTCCAATAACCAATGTAATCACCTTCAAAACACATTCTAGTCAGTACCATTGATCCCTCACAGGCCAAGATAATTGAACAGCAAATATCCAAGAAACGATTAGCCCAACTACCATTTTACCAAAACAAGTAGAACCCCTTTGAATCTTGATTCACTTGATAAAAAAAATACAAACTTTAACATATGATACTACTACATAAACCAATGTAATCACCTTCAAAGCCCATTTTGATACCTTCAAATCCAAGAAACCATTTACCCAACTACCATTTCACCAAAACAAGTAGAATCCCTTTGAATCTTGATTCACTTCTTCAATAAAAACTCAAACTTTCACATTTAATACTCCATAAACCAATGTAATCACCTCCAAAACACATTTTACTCAGTACCATTGATCCCTTAAAGCCTAAAATACTGCATCAGCAAATATCCAAGAAACAATTAGCCCAACTACCATTTTACCAAAAACCAGTAGAACCCCTTTTATCTTGATTCACTCCATCAATAAAAACTAAAAATTTTTCAATACTACATAAACCATGCTATCAAAAACCATACAAACGACCGTTTATTGTGTATCAAAAGGCATATACAAAGATATACCCTCAAAATATTTTTGCCAAATGAGGAGATTTGGCAAATGATCTAGACAGCTTACAGCGGTTTTTTTTGATAGTGGAATGCAAATCTTGAATTGGTATAGATCGGAATTGCAATATTTTTGTGATTTTAGGAAAGAAGCACCTGAATGAATAAAGAAAAGAGAGATTAGTTGCTGATTTGGTACGTGGGATGCAGACTATCGAACAGAACACAGGAGTGGGTGGCCTTTTCTTTTTTCCTTTCTTTCCCCTCCCCCCCCCCTTTCCCCAATTGTTCAATTTTTCCCCCTATTTCCTTATTATTTATTTTGTTTTATAATTTGGGAATTTCTTATCTGATTAGGGACGTGTACAAACAGATTTAGATCGTTTATTTTGTTTAAGAAAAAAAATTAAAAACGTATACACTAGCAAATGTATGTGAAGTAAAATCTCAAATGTTAATTGTTAATGAATTCTTTGATTAATAATTGAATTGTAATTCTTTTTCTTTACCTTCTACTTCTTTTAGCAATTTTGTCCCTGGTATAGTTTGTATTATTTAAGCGTGTGATATATACTCTTATATAAAAGACACTTGTTATATACTCTTTTTTGGTAATATTGATTTGATAGAAAAACCAAGAGGGTGTAACGTTTTTTCCTTTTTAGAGCCTTATAGCAGTTAAAAGATTGAATTTGCTGGTGTGCTTAAAAGCTGAAACTTTGTGGAAGTCAATCTTTTTATTACTTTAACAACCCGGCGATTCAATACTATTGGGGGCCTAAAGTCAAACTTCAACCGGAGACCTTAATTTTTTTTTCCAGAAAAAAAAAAGAAAAAGAAAAGAAAAGAAGCTTTCATATATATTTTTATTTGAAGTCTATTTTTCTTGCCTTTTGAGATGCAAAATTATGGATAACTGTTTTATAATCAATTTCTTCTAACAATTCATTTTCAACTGATAATATAGCTAATCCATTCAACCTCTCTTGAGAAATTGTTGATCTTAAATATGATTTTATCAATTTTAATTTTGAAAACTTCTTTCCGCTGAGGCAACTGTTACAAGAACTTTTAATATTATTCTGTAAGCAATATATGTGCATTTGGAGAACACACTGGCACCTTGTAACTGGTCAAAAAAATCATCAATGTGCGGCAATGAGTACTTGTTCTTAATGGTAACTTTGTTTAAATGGCGGTAATCAGTGCACATCTGAATACTCCCATCCTTCTTTTTTCATAAGCAATATCGGTGCACCTCAAGGAGACATACTCGGCCTAACGAACTCCTTCGCTAACAACTCCTCAAACTGTTCCTTCAACTCCTTCAACTCTTTCGGAGCCATGCGGTACGTTGGAATAGAGATAGACTAGGTACTTGGCGCCAAATCAATACTGAAATCGATATCACGATATGGTGGCATGCCTGATAGATCAGAAGGAAACACATCAGAGAATACCGCACCACCGACACTGAATCAATTGTGGGAGTCTTTGCAGCAGTATCTCGAACATAAGCCAGATAATCCAAACAACCCTTCTCGACCATATGTTGAGCCTTCAAGAAAGATATAACCCGACTAGATGTGCTGATAGATGAACCCCTCCACTCCAATCTAGGCAACTCCGACATCGCTAAGTTAACAATCTTGGCATGGAAATCAAGAAAGGGATGGTACAGAGACAACCAGTCCATGTCCAAGATGACCTCAAAGTCAGTCATGTCGAGGAACAGAAGATCTGCTGTGGTCTCATAACTACAAAAAGTCGCAATGTAGAACCGGTAAACTCGATCCACACCAACAGAATCACCCATTTGTATGGACACATATATAGGAGCACCCAAGGACTCACGAGAGACATCTAGATAATGAGTAAATAGAGAAGAAACATATGAATATGTAGACTCTGGATCGAATAGTACCGAAGCATCCATACTGCAGACAGAAATAATACATATGATCACGACGTTTGAGGCTATTACATCTGGTCTGGCTAGACGAGTGTCACACCTCCTTTTTCCGTACCCGAGAGGGTACAAGGGAGTTTTCCAATTAAAGGACAATCGAAACGGGATTGGTTTATTTATTTCAGAGTCGCCACTTGGGAGATTTAGGGTGTCCCAAGTCACCAATTTTAATCCCGAATCGAGGAAAAGAATGACTCTATATTACAGTCTGCGTACCAGAAATCCGGATAAGGAATTCTGTTAACCCGGGAGAAGGTGTTAGGCATTCCCGAGTTCCGTGGTTCTAGCACGGTCGCTCAACTGTTATATTCAGCTTAATTATCTGATTTTATACAAATATGAACTTATGTGGAAGTTTTATCTTTTAACCGCTTTTATCATGTACTGTTATTTTTATTAAGAACTGCAACATCGTGGAAAACGCACCTCGAACCACGTTACGATCAATGTACCCGTGGTTAGAGCTACGTTTCAACTCTGTTGAGATTGGGATTTGAGTCACATAAATGTGCACCCGAGTTTAGGAAGATAAATTATTAAAGGCGTGCCTAAGGCAACTAGCATATTGTTATTTTGGGGAAAGCCGTAAAATTTGCTAAACGGCCTATCCCGAATTCTAAGTGTTTTAATATATACATTTAGAGGGCCCCGCAGCTTGTGCATTTTGTTTGTCGAGGCTCGTCTCGTTCATCATTTTAAAAGAGAATTTGCAACGTCATGGAAGTGCATCTCAGACCACGTCACAATCAATGTACCCGTGATTAGGGACACATTTCGATTTCGTTAAGATTTGGATTTGGGTCACATAAATGTGCACCCGAGTTTAAGGAGATAACATTATTAAATACGCGCCTAAAGTGTCTAGCGTATCATTATTTTTGGGAAGGCCGTGGAATTTTACTAAATGGTCCATCTCGAAGTCTAAGCCATTTTAAAACAAATATTTACTGAGGGCCCCGCGATTTTTGTATTTTTGGCGAGGCTCATCTCATTTTTACTTTAAAAGATAAACCTACAACAACTACATTTTTCTATTAAGTTTGTCTCTAAAAAAAAACAAAAGAAAATACCTCGATTAATTACATGCTGAAAAGGCGTAACTTATTAGTTATTGGTTTACGGCTAACACAAACGAGAAATTGCAGCAGAGTTTGTACAAAGAGGGTTTGCTTTCATTCTATATTCTATTATTCAAGAAAACTGAAACATGAGATTGACGCACAATAATATCGAAGCAGATTATTTTTAGGCGAAGAAATTAGACGTATTCGACCTTATTCATTGACGGGCATACGTATGAGGTTCAGTTAATTATTCCTTACATGCTTGACGCTTAAAAACGAAACAACTGAAACTGACCCTATCTAACTTAAGTGGTATTACCACGTGTTTAGCTGCACGATTTTTTATATTTTTACTGTAACCCAGATTGCCTAGTATGCCTTCGAAATACACATTATCTACTGATGAGTTAAGGTGACACAAATGTGATCACTGCATTCATTTTAACAGACCCTATGTGAAACCATTGTTGGCCGAGTATCACTACTATCCAGCTAGCTTCTTTCTGATTTACATACAACAATAGATTACCAGACCAAACTCAATAGGACTGAAAACTGTTTCGTTACATAGTTTGAAAGCCAAACTTTACATGTTGAACACACAAGTATTCTAAACTACAAGCAGCAGAAAAATGGTAACTATGCTAATGTTTGGACTGCAATACTTCTTATGCTCTCATTTAGCTCCAAACTCATCATTACATCAATGAATTTAGAATGTGTATCTGAATGTTTGAACAATAAGAAGGAGAAGAAGAAAAGTATCAGCAGCAGGCAACCAAACAACAACAACAACCAGCCACAAAGATGAAGCTCACAAGTGGTCGAGCACCAAGCAAACAATCCCAGAAAAACAGAGTAGTAGAACAACCGAGAAAACCAGAATGTTCAATGCAATAGCAACATCAATCCAATGATCATAAATAGCTCGGCAAACAACGAACAACAATTGGCAAAGACAGCTTGACTAACTTAAATATGCAGTTTCGGTCAGTGTTTGGTTACAATATTCTGAAATTTTCTTTTATGTTTCTTTCTTTTAGTTTTTCCAACTTAAAACCTCTCTCAAGACTAAAAAATGTCCCCCCTTTTTATGTTCTGAAACAACTTATTTATAAGCAGAAATGGCAAGCACTAAGCTGCCTCGAACCCTTCTCCTCTTTCCTGCCCATAACTTCTTTAAAAACTAATCAAAAGTATCCACCATGCCCATCCATTCGACAGGCCTCTAGCCTGTATTTTCTGCCCAAAAGCATGGGCAGCCCTTTTTTATTCAATCAGCCCCATGCTACCCAGTTTGGTTCCCCACTATTACATTAGTTTAATCCTAATCCAGTACCCTATTTGTCAGCTCATTTAAACTAATCATTTTTGTTCTTTTTTACACCCAAATTACCCTTGTTAACCCCTGGTTATCACTGTCTTGCCCTGCTTCTATAGCAGGAAATTTGAACTTCTGAAAGTTCAATTTCCAGCTGCCCTAGCCTGAATCTTTTAGTTGTTTATAATGCAGTTACAAACTACTTTCATACAATGTCAAGCAATCAATTAACAACAACAGGTTCGTTCACTCATGTGAAGTTGTATGAATTAGAATATTTGAACATTAAGTCATAGGAAACTAATCGACGACGTTTATCAGTCGACTATACTAATTATAACAAGGACTAATCAGTCGATTAAATAAACAGCACGAACATGGTCCCAAAGGGCTTCAGACAACTTTGCACGACACTGGGAGGCTATATGAGTTATCTATGCGACGACTAATCTAATCGAGCATGTATATTACAGAACGTATTCAAACATACACAGAAGACAATCGACCAAATAAAAAGCCTTACCAAGATGGAAGAAATTGGAATGAAAAGACCAGAAATACCAAATAATCACATTAAAACATGCTAACAAACTCAATCAATATTCGAACAAAACTAAAAAGAAAAAGGAAAACTTACT